TTTCAAAGCTTTCAACGAAAATATTTTGTAGAGCAATGATAAATTTAATTCTTCTTTACTCGGAAATACTCAGCGATCGGGCGTACAATATGATTGTCATACATGCAGGTGCGTAAATTTAATATGCATGCATATACACGCAAATCAAGAATCAACTGTATCACGCTCGCACTCGACTCCTGCGTGTACGAGCTGCGAACTCGCCGCATTGTCACTGCGGCGTCGAGGTGCGTTGATATGTATATACCATGTTTGGCAAGGCAAATCCCGAGAGTTGAGCTTATATCATCATATAGTATACCCGGAGATCGCTATAATATGTAAAGGCGAAATGAATTCTAGACTCGGGACCGTATGTATGTATTTATTGTAACGTGCGTACACGAGAATGATATGCGTCAAGTTTGCGCGCATATATACGTCTGACTTTATTGTCAACGGGTAATTGACCATCTGGAACGGCTTCTGCTGCTATACGTAGAAATTTTCGGAGCTCGTACGTATAAGCATGTGTATGTATCGATCTTGTCGCTTGATTAAACCCCGCCACTCGATTTTTCTCGGATCGATTAATTGTCAACAGGCCTTCGGATTTATATCCTAAATCCTACCTATAATCCATCGATGACAATTCCAAGAGCTTTCGTTAACAAAACGAAACTTATTAATAGAAAATATTAGGTCTCTCGACTCGATGACAGCCAACGACACATTGAGCAAGAAATTCTCTCTCTCCTTCTCCTTGCTAATAAGTCAATCTCTCTCTCTCTCTCTCTCTCTCGTACGTAGGTGTTGCCCCGCGAGGGAAAGAAAAATCAATTAGCCGAAGAGCCGTAAAGACTCCAGCACCTGGACTCAATAAAGTTACTCGAGGACGCGCAATCATCAGCTGTCTCTGCCGCGCTCGAGCTTATGTATAAACCTATAAAGGATAAGCATCTATATGGCGCTGGCGCACGCAGCATATATATATGTGCGGCGCTCCAATTAGACTCGGAGGATTATCGACGTGTATATTACGACGCTCGACTCCGTCCAAGTATGTAGTGGTGTGTGTGGCCTGGTGGATGATCGTGGTAAAAGGCAGCTCGAGGATCGTCCACGCGCCTTTTCCGATCGAGCCAAATGTAAAGGTCGAGTGTTACTCCGTGTGTACGTGTGCGAGTGGCGTGGTAGTACACTCGTCCCTCGGGAGCTGCTGCACAGACAGACAGCTCAGAGAGAGCAAAAGAGTGAGAATGAAACATCATCTTGATTGTCCGCTCATCGGGCATTGGTATTGCGAACGTGCGCGCATCCTCGGGACTTTTAATGCTTCGATGAATTTCCCTTTGGGTACAGAATTGTATCTTCTGTTTGTACTTATACAATTTTTTTACTTTGCCACTTGCTGATTTACACGTAAAGGTATTTGCCATGTAGCGGTACAGTCTGACTTTATAAGTATAATTGAATTTTGATTAATTTTTTGTGCAATTAAGGTAAATACCAAATCACTATTAAAGAATTAATTTAAAAATTAATTTAAAATGTTTAAATTTAAGTATCGCATTAAATTTATTTTTGTTTATTTTGAGACTGTTAGACATTTTTTTTTTTTCGAAAAATCACGTTTATTTGTTTAAATAAATGTAGCTTATAAATGGTTATAAATTTGACGCAAAATTCGAAATTTGCGATAATAATCTCAACGAATATGGTATTTACACAGTAATATGACAATCTTTTCATTGAAAATGAACGAATTAAAAATTCATCTGTTTTTAGAATTTTCGGTTTTTAACGTACTCGTAAAAAAGTGACAGTCTAGGTTTTTTTGGTATCGCGTTATTGAGAAACTTACCCCGCACGTACAAAGCTACTTATGCATCAGCGCGATTATACAATTTAATTCCTTTCAAAGAAGCAATCCATATAATTGTCGCGCGAGTGCTGAACAGCGGCAGCAGCAGCAGGCCAACAACAGCAGTACGATTCGATGAGTGGCTGCGGCTTAAAATGTAATTGCCAAAGATGCTCGACACCGGAACCAATTACCAATATATGCGCAAGTGCTTGTAAGTATGTGTGCGAGGACAGGCCAGCAGCCAAAGAAACCTGATACACTCAGAGCCGAGTCCGCGGATGACTTTAACGAGCACACGATCCACCATACCTCGTTGACGCGCGCGTGCAATCTAGCATTAGAAAATGACCGCGAAGACGTCTCGTAGCCGTGATAACAGACGCGACGTCCTAATTACAAAAGTACGACCCCGTAGCGCTCCGCATCGTTATAATTTTATTCCATTTACGTATAATATACTCATCGAGCAACGCGAGCATGAGAAATTCAATCATCGTCGTCGCGAGAAAGAGAGAGAGAGAGAGAAAAGTTAAAATTAATGCATGTAATTCTTCGTCGTCGTTGGACCAAATCCTTTTTCGTGGGGGCTAATTCGGACACGACTCGACTGGACTCGGCTGCAGACTCTCGCGAGCTCCGCATATCGCATATACACAACGAGCACAACAGACGTTTGTAACATTTCAGCTGTTCTCTCGTTCTCGCGGCTTATTCAAAACTCGCGATCCTCGCGTGTTTCGAGATTAAAATTCCCTGTGTCCGCGCGCGACCGCCGTGCTGCAGCAACTTCTCTGCGTATGTATATATACGGTGCGTCGCCTCGCCGAGGTAAAAGAGAGATGGGATTAACTTTTTCGAGAGCTTTGACTGCGGAGCATATATAAACACGCGCTCTTCAACCCAGCTCTGCGAGAGCTTTATCTTCTTCTTTGCGTCTTGTTTTTTTTCCTTTTTTTCCTCTCTTTTGTTTTAATTTCATTTGTTGGCTTTGCAGCTCCTCGTTGTCTACACACAACACAACGTATATATAATCAAATTTTCCCTCTCCTCTTATTTTCCATTCGCTCCAGCTCCCTCTTATAATCAGTTGAAAATGGATAAACGACATTTCATAATTGGCCTAAGGTTATATACCTAAGTATCGTCGCTAAGTTTGGGCTCTCTCGTGCTAGCTTCGATAAGTGGCTTTATATCGGATACCAGGAAAATCGTACGTGCAAAGTCACGTTCGCTCTTGTAGTCCGATGTATAAGGTACTTGAAAGGTTTGCCAGTTAGGTCATTTCGTTCGGGCAGTCATTGCGCTTGCTTTGGCTTCGTTGTTCGATGCCCGCTGCATACGTGTACACGGGAGAGCTTTAATGATTCGCGTGCAATGATACGTATATATGGTGCGTTCGATATAATATTAAAATACACGCTTTTACTTCAAGATCAATTAAAACTAACGAATCAAAATAATACATAAAACAAACATACTAAAGAGAAAAAAAATTATTCGTCTTTGTCGCGCGAGAGCACTGGCCGCAGAGAGAAGAGAGAATTTCTGTCATTCACGCCCGTCGGGAGGTATTTTGGTTGATCCGTATTCGCGATTATTTATCATATATACTATACAGCAAAGGAAGAAAAAAAAAGACGCAGAAATGGAGAAGATGAAGTCAACGTGTCCGTCATCTGGTTACTCGAGGGATTTCTCGTCGTCGCCGTCGTCGTCGTCTGTGCGGGCGCACCGCACGAGAAGAGCGACGAGATGCAGGACTGCCTGTGAGTGCGCCTGTATATCTGTCGAAAGATAATAAAATATGCACACGAGTCATGCGCGTAAAAAGAAAAACGCCAAAGATCGCCTTGGAAGGATACCTCTCTTATACGCGATAACGTTAAACATGAACGTCGTGGGCTATCGTTCAAAATTACTAATTCATATCGTATTTCTGGAGATAGACACCTCGACTGTGGACACACGTAAAATAACTGCATTTATAGATTTGAATTCCACTGGTTTTCGCGCATATCACCCCCTTGGTCTATATATCGTTTCGTCGTCGAGCCACATGTGTCAAGCTATGCGTATATATAACTGCGACTCTCGGCCCAAGCGATGATTAACGGCACCCGCGAGGTATACGGACACGATGTTGTATAATCTCTTTCTTCTTCCTCTTCTGCCTCTTGCTTGGGTTATAAGCTATAGGAGCTCACTGGTACGATCGTTGCTTGCGACGGCCGCTCGTTCTCGCAAGAACACCCAGCAGAGGCCCAAGTGTGCACCAAGATCTCGGTACACATCGTTGCGTTACGCGCGAGCGTGTCTAGGAATTATCAGCTCTTTTCTCACGTTTCGTCATTTTCGGAGGGAAGTCGAGAGAGAGAGAGAGAGAGAGAGAGAGCTGTCTCGTGCATCGGACATTTATCATCGTGCTACGATGATGGATCGACAACGCAACACTCTTGGTACAACTCGAGATAAAAAGATTAATTTTCTTACATAATTCGCCCGAGACTCAACGAAGCCGGATTGATAAGATTTTTGTCAAAGCATGAAAATTGTTATGTGAAACAAGACAAAACGTATGAAGAAGAAGAGAGACATGTTTGTTTTGGTATGATCGGACACGTTCAATATCGTAAATGTAATGCTTACATTTGTATAAGAGATTGCGTGAGTTAAAAAATCTGATTTTTGTCGAGTGAAATTGTGGTAAAATTTTTATGCTGTAATCTTTTTTTTTCTTTTTTTTTTTTTTTTAGTGATAACTTACAAAATTAATAATGAAAATAAATCTCAAGGTGTACCCAATCAAGAAGACTTTGACGTTTGATTTATCATGAGGACGAAAAATTCATAAAAATCAAATTTCTCGTCACTTGCATTATTCCTTTGTAATGTAAAATTTAATTACGATTTTATCGGCACATGAAATGCAATTTTTTTTAAAGGTGTTGAGTAAATTTATTTCAAGTTATCTTGTAGGATATGGTAAAATACTTGTAATTATAATTCATTTAATGATTCATTTATAGTCAACACCGGTCATGGTTAATTAAAATTGACGATTAATTCTTTCAATAAAACTGATTGATAAGGAGAAGAAAAATTTTAATTAAAAAATGGTTATAAACGTGCAATGGCAAATCATTTAAAACTGCGATCGACCGCGATTCTCTGCGCAAAAATAGTTAATCGAATAAAAGATGAAGTTCGTACTTTTAATTTTTGTCGCTTTGGTTTTTGTTGCTGAAACCTATGGACAAAGAGAAAATCGAAGAGTATGTTCGGGTGGGCGTTGTCAATTTGTGCCCGGAAGTGTTTACGGTAAATAATAGAATTACGGACTTATCATCTCAAGAAAAAGTTTGACAAAAAAGGTTTCAGCGAGGTACATATTTGGAAGTTATTATAAATGAAATTTTAATGAAATAATTCATGTGCTTATAATTAATCATAGGGAACAAACTGATGATCGAGCAGTGCATAAATAAGTGGTCAATTTTTTAAAAGAAAATAAAAGTTTAAAAAAATTGTTTTGGCAATTTTTCGATTATATCCTTCTTTGAATATGATATCAATTTAAGCCTTCATCGTTAGATGGCGAGTACCCTTATCTGTAAACATGCAAGTAACAAAATAAATGAAAATAATTATATAAGTACGAGTTTTTTTTCAAATCAAATCTGTTCATTCTTATATGGGAGCACACGTAGCGATCGTGTTAACCATAAATCAATATACGAATATACTTCAAAAATCGAGCACTCGCCACTATACTCTGTGGCGATAAATATCATATCCAAAAAGTTTTTCAAAGAAGATTCCATCAGCTGGACGGAAGCCATAATCTATTTATCGTCGCAATGCATCTCAATGAATAATTGCCTGGACGCTGGGATTATCGACGATATCCGTGCAAACGCATATATGCAATTATAATCGAGCGCTCGCACGCTAGGCAAAATATTTCTAAGCAAAATAATAAACACGATAAAGTACTTTATATTCGAAAGAGATGCACATCGATATTACAGCCTTGGCCCCGTGCTGATCGCGAGCTTGTCATCTTTATTATATTTTCACCCGTATAATACGTTTCGAGCTTTGCAGCGCGCGTAGCAGTCTTCGATAATTATATTCCGTAAAAGTAATGGCCGCGGTCCACAAGAGCAAGAGCGCATCTGTGAAAACATTTATTTTAATAATAAATACAAGCGCGAAACGAGCTAGATTATAGGTAAACATATCATCTTTGTCATCGTGGTCGTCTTCGTCGTTGACATCAAAGACTCGAGGTTGATCATTTCGTGCTCGAGCGTAAATAAAGCATAGCTTATGAACGATAAATCGCCTCGTTCCCCCGAGTGCATCTCGCGTCGTTGTTGTCGCGCGAGCTATATATATACGTCGATGATTTCGTTTGATCATCCGTCTCCTCCTCCCCCTACTCCTTCTACCGATTTCTCGAGAGCCTCATGCCGTCGTCGTCTTGATCGTCGTGAACGAACGGGTTGAACAGACAAAAAAAAAGCACAGAAGAATAAGAAACGAAGAAGTCCTCTCTATGCCGCGCGTCGTCGTCGTCGTCGTCGTCGCGCCATTGGCTGTATCGATGGCAATCGAGTGACATCGTGGGACTGCCCGCGTGGCTCTATTCGTCGACCGAAAGACGAACTGGTTTGTAAATGTACATGCACTATAAGCTGCTATATATATATATTTAAGCGGCGGTGCAGCAGCGCGCACCAATCTTGCCTCTCTGCGGTATTCGTGTAATTAAGCGGCTCTCTTACGCTCTCTCTCTCTCACTGGTCGCATACCCGCGATCGGCTTGTAAAGCTCCGATTCTTTCCATTCAATAGCTCATTGTGCGCTACGCTCGCTGTATAATACATATAAACGGCCGCGTCCCCGTAAGATTTCTCTTTGTTTTTCCTCTCAATACCTTTATGGCCTTTTTTGCGTTATAAACTACATCTGGAGCGACCGCGTATAAATATTTTTACGTCCATGCGTTGGGATAAGATATTCGACGAGAAAATGAAATTATTTTACGTATAAAATAGAAAATCTCGATCGAGTTCTCGGAGTCGCGTGGTAGGGATTTTTCTCGTAAAACTACGGCGTACATATAATATATACGATCTCTCTCTCTCACCCTCCCCCGTTAAACAGCCTAAAAGAAGAAGCCTCGAGAATCGACCCTCTGGAGGATTTATTCGCCAAACTATCGTGACTAAATGCCGTATACAGTCCTCTCCTCGTCCTCCCGGTCGCGCACAGCGCTTGTCTCCGTGTTATATATATACGTATAGAGAGTCCTTTTCATGCGAGTTAGTGGGAAAGCGGAGGGAGAAAACGATGCAATATATTATCAAACGAGGAGCCTTTAGCAAGTAGCGGCTGGAACACATTCGTATTTATTCGAGAAAAGGGGTGTATTTGCGGTTAGCGCGCGCGCGCAAGCTCGAGTCTCTGTAGTCGACGCTTTTCTCGCGCGCGCGCGCGCACACAGAAACCTATATCTCTCCCGCACTTTTGCCTATACATATATATCGATGTATAAATAAACGCAAGCAACTGCAGGCTCGATATATTCATGACTCGCTAGGTACAAAATGCCTGGCGACGAGCTCGTCTACGATACGTGTAATCCAAGAGAGTATATAATATATAGCGTGTGTATATTCTTCAGAGGTGTAATAATAATGCAGATTTTCATTTTATTTATTTATTGTTTTTTTCAACATCCACGTCGGAAATAATGCAAACTCGGAATTTTTCAGCTCGTCCGAGAGAGAGAAAGAGATAATATGAAGCTTGCGCGCCAACGCTTCGCAGCGAGAAAACTGGCGGCGCGCATTTAAAAATTGACGATCTAAAAAGGTAAAAATTGTAAGCCTAAGAGCTTCAATCCTTTCACGCGTGTAGCGAAATTTAGTCGGTGCGAAATTGCCGTCACCAGCTAGCTCGTCGACCATATCCCCACGCGCAGCAGTAGCGCATCGCGTCTACTGTATATATGTACTATATACTATTTGCGCTTGGCGACGGCTGCTGGTGCTGCAGCGAGTTGCCCCCAAAAACAAAAAAAAAAAGAGGACCAAAAGTCGAAAAAGCATTTGTGTGTGCAAAAAGTCACGGGGCCTCTGGGCAAGTGTGCGTACGTTATATGTGTAGCTGAAAAATTCTTTCTCTATTTCTCTCTCGGTGGTGCGTGAGTGTGTGTACGCGCGCTATGTATCCATATACGGTTTAATTGCACCCCTCGTCATGGGCGCAGCAGCAGTAGCAGCAGCGGTGCTTTAGGAATATGACGGGCCAGTGACGCGCTACTGTGATTGACAGGCTGCAATATGGCCTTATAGCCCCTTCTCTCTGTCTCCCTCTGCTCGTCATAGACGTATATGTATAGAGAGAGATGCGTAGGTGGGTGTGAGTGAGCGAAAGAGTGTCTAGCGCGTTACGCAAGCTGTTGCACCCGTATCTGCGCATTCATGCAAAGTCAAAGCTGTCCATCCGTCTGTCTCTCTCTCTCTCTCTTTCTCTTTGGCTTGACGCTCTCGAGCTCTCCTGTATATATACAACGTCAAATGTTGCTGCTGCAGTGCCGACGGATGCTGCTGCTGCTCCTGCTGGATACCATATAGCATATATAGGCTCAACTCGACGATTATCGCGCGTGCAGCCATAGAAGCGGCGTACGCAGGGTATAGTGCGTATTTGTTTTCGATATTATTCCCTTTTTTTTCGTCGGACGTTGCGAGTGCGCGGATTTTCATCATCTCTTGGAAAGGGACCAATCTCTTTCCCTCTCTCGCGCGCGTGCTCGTAGCTAGAGGCCAAGTATGCGTTTGTAGCACTTAAATCGAATTCGCCTGGCAGTTTTTACTTTTGCCAAAATAAAAGCTGCGCTTGACGGTACATACGCAGAAGATTAATTATTTTTCAACGCTATTTGTTTCCCATTTTTAGGATTTGAAAAGGCGTCAGTTTTTTTGCATATAATTTTATTATTAATTTTTAATTGTGTAAATATTGCTCATTTATTTATTTTTTCCGTTGTTATAAGCATCTCAGTTTATAGTGAAATGCAAAAAACTTCATACAGATATTCATACAGGTTATTACCCAAGTAGAAACGTCAACATTGATAATGGTTTGATGATCGAAAAATTCAGACCAGTTTTCAATCACTTCCAATTTGGTCATATTATTTTCAGTATTCAACGCTAGATGGCGAATACTTCCAACTGATAAACTGCAAAACTGCAAGTGGCAAAGTAAATACATTTGTATAAGTAACGCATGGTTTTAAAGAAAATTACGTATGGTGCTATGCTCAAATTGTAAAAGCCAGCTTCCACCGTTAGATGGCGAGTACCATTGCCTATAAATCTGTAAGTAGCAAAATCAAAATAAGTTTATAACGCTGTAGAGGCTAGACGAGTAGGGTCAGCATGCCAGTACTGATTCTGATTGATTCTATCCAATGCTCACTTGTAGCCCTTTGTTACAATTCAATGCTCAGTTTAGAAAAATCAATATTCATAAAGTTTATGAGATAATGAAATTTTCCCATGAAATTTTGCGTTAATTTATAGAACGCGTCACGAGCGCGAGACTCTTGATAATATGTATTTCACTCGCGCTTCGTAAATGTCTTCGTAATCGCGCGCGAGAGCATCCATATATATTGTATATATAGGCAAGCAGGAGCAACCTAGGAAACGTCCAATAATAATGTCTTACGATCCGCTCTCCTTCCCTCTCGCTCTTTTAACAGCGTGCCAGACGCGCGAGCATTAAAATTTGACGGAAGCTTACATTATACACACGACAATGAAAATCGTCTCACTCTCTCTCTCTCTCTCTCTCTCTCTCTCTACTCTCGCAGCCCTCGAAGGCGCAGAAAATATAATTCTTATAAACCGTCTTTGTGTACGTGGCAGCGATCTACAACCGGAAAATTTTCTTTCGCGCGTCATCGTCGTCGTCGTCGTCTTGGTCGCGCGCGGAGTTGACGCGAAAAAAAGTCGTCGTCGCACTAATCTCTTTTTCAAAGCTCGAGCCTTATTCTGAAACGCGGGCGAGGCTCGGGGCCTCGTATATAATACATAAACTATATAAGGTACCTCTAGCTGGGGGGCTACAATAGAGGACGTATATAAGGGAACAACGCGTGAAAAGCCGCGTCGCGCGAGCGAGCGAAAAGACGGTGGTGTGCGGCTCGTAACGTTGCTGCCGCTGACTGACGTCTCAATGGGAATCGCGGGGGCAAATGCGATTTTAAGGAGAGCTGCTGCTCGTTCGGGGACCAACGAGAGCTTCCTATATACATTTATATACACATATATACACTACACACATAGAGACGCGAGGCGAGAGCTCGGCAATGAGTGAGATGCCACCCGCGCGCGAAATCTTTTGAATAGAAAGAGCTGCTGTGCAGAAGCGTTTTCTCTCTCACTCTGGTCTGCGATAGGCATCGGGGAATTTATGTGCGCACGCCCGAGAGAGAGAGAGAGAGAGAGAGATGCTTTTTGTATGAACGCATTATAAGTGCTATATATACATGCAACAGCAGCAGCACAAGAGGTGTAAGCTTTGACTTTTGCTCTTTTTTCTTTCTCTCTCTCCCTGCTAGATTGTGCATAT